ATAATAAAAGAGGATGGTAGGGGAGGGGGTGTGTGGATTGCAGTGAGAAGAGGTAGAAGATGATGGGGTAAGGGAAGTTCGTGGTTTGAAGGGATATAGTAGGAGGGGGTATGGGGTCGGGGAGGAGTTGTCTGGTCCTGACATAGGAGACAGTTTATATAATTATCGTGTTACTGTGAACTTGGTAACTTGTCAGTTGAAAGAACTCGCCTCAGGGAGCGGAAAGTGATGGAAACACGTGCGCATTATACTCAAGGTGCTTGGCTTTGTATTTCAATTTTACGGACACTAATACAGGTTATTTTAACACAACGTATATGAAATTTATACGTGTTTGGGGGAGAAAGGGAGGGCTTGAATATAAAGCTGGAGTTGACTCCCCACGACAAATTGAGTGTTGTGCTCTTATCAACTACTTGAGGCTTGATAGATGGTCACTGTGTCGTCTTGCAAGTTGCAGAACATACAGCTGGCTGAGTTACCGCGAGACTTGGGGCGTTAGAGAGGGTAAGAGAGGGAGGAGGAAGATTAGGGTAGGTGCAGGGAAAGGGGGAACATTATTTGTTAAATTTTTGTTTGGAAATTAAACCTTTATTAAAGGTTGAAAACTGTCATCCTCTTCATGTTAGTTCGGCTGCATGATACTTTTGTTATCATCAGTTGTCATTTAAGCCATGTGTTGAATCTCTTCTCCCGGACATGGCCATGTCCTAAACATCCGTTACCCTCGTGGTGGTGTATCAGCTGCTGTAGTTGTTTCCCGAGGAGTTGTTTGACACTTAGTTCTTGTTCATATACACACAAGACACTGCCATCTTTATAGTGTTGCACTTAACTTTCACTCAAATGGGAAAATTAAACGCACTTTTTATGGATAATACACGAATAGGATCTTTGAGCAAAAGCTACTGATAGACCAAACATGCTGACCACAACCATAGGACCACAGACAGCCGGGTGGATGAGCAGCCACTGTTGCTTGTGGGATCCCCCCTAGTGTTAGTGTGATTATGATGATTTCCGGGAGTGTTTGCTAGGTTTTTTTTATTCAATGTCAGGGTCAATATACTCAGTTGTTTGGTGCGTCTTGCTGTAACTTTTTCAGATGGTGTCTATGATCACTGCAGCTCATGACCATCTCTCCTACACCCTCCCCTCCCCCAGACTGAATAAATAGATGGTAGTGGGATACAGGAAACACATGGTTGGATAGGAATCGATGCTTTTACCTCACGAGAGTTTCCGTGGTGTTTAGGTCACGTTACCTAGAGCTGGGGTGTCGAAGCCAGGATACACGTATTAGTGTAGACAAATCCCCTTGGTGGTTAATCGTAAGCAGTATTGGATTAATCACGACCGTGTGTAGCGAAGGTAACAAACGCCGTGGCTCGTCGGGTTTACAAGTTAGTTAAGGGACCACCTACTGATGTTGCTAGTTGTGTTGTTGTTCCTTCAGCTCCTTTATGGCCTTGACGCTTCTCTTGTATATCCTCGTTGTTATCGTATGGTTTGATCTTACTCTCATCATCGGCATATTTTTTTTATACGTTTTGGGAATTCATATAAAACTTTACACTTTACAAATTTGACACGCTATTGTAATCGTAGGTAATAATCGTGGTTGAAAACGTTCAAAAAAAATAAAAATGTATATATATGTATATGTATATATATGTGTGTATATATATATATATATATATATATATATATATATATGTATATGTATATATATGTGTGTATATATATATATATATATATATATATATATATATATATATATATATATATATATATATATATATATATATATATATATATATATATATATATATATATATATATATATATATATATATATATATATATATATATATATATATATATATATATATATATATATCAATTTTTTTAATGTGATTTGTGGTATAAATGTGAACTATGCCGGTGGTCCTTCAAACAGGTTCCAGAGGAGTCGTGAGAGTTCGGAGGAGATATTTTAATGGGAAAACCAACCATATCTAACGTTGTGATGATGCATACCCGTAATACTTGGAGGGCAATTTTTTTTCTTTACGTGGAGGTAAATTATGGAGGGTGTTAAGTAGAGGATATGGTTGGAGTACGACGACTAACTGAAGGAGAACAGTGGTAGCTATATAGTTCTGCCCTATAAGAATCCCGTACCATCTAGTGTTCTTTGTTGAATTAAGGCATGAGTTGAACTAACGAATCGAGCTGTTGTTATAGAAAGGCCCCCAGGGTGTTGTTGAGATTATTGGTAGGGAAAGGGGTATACTGTATAAGCTTTGTAGATGAAACGTCGGGAGATTTATACTATCTGACATTCCATCGGGAGCACATGGTATTAGAACTCTCTCTCTTTTGTTTGAAGGGGTTTGACTTTATAGAATGTTTGAGGAAATTATGGGGATTATGGGAAAGGTGACGTTGTGAGGGAAGGTTTTTGGAGTGGGTGTTTACGGAGGGGGGGGGTGCGCTGTGAATTTGTTAGAAGGAAACTATACCAGTGGAATTGCAGCATTAGTGGACAAGGTCATAGAATGAACTTAATGGCAGGTATAGATAAGTATATACTGCAGTTTATAGTGTGGGAAGGACAATGGCTCTAGCTTTGTAGCAACACGTGTTAGTTTATACTGCTTATACGGCAGAGACCGAGGTAATGACTACTGCACCAGGGGCTAGTAAAATTGCAAGTAGTTTTAGTTGGAAGGAAAAAAAAATGACACGAGTAAATCACAAGATAATCTACCTGACGTATCAACGATGTACACAGGAACGGACACATCAAGAAGATGGTTCTAGTTAACGTAAGCTGCCGGCCATCTGTATTATTATTACTGTTATCTCTTGTTCTCACGGTATGTATGGGTTGACTATATTAGGATAGACCAAGAGTCCTCAGGTGTAATGAAATGGGAAATGTGTGCGTGCAAATTGTGAAGAAGCCCAGGGTGGTGGTCTACTTGAGGGTCGTGAACGTGATGTTGACCCGACGAGTATACAGTACAGTACTCTTAAACATACCGCCACAGCATTATTCCATCTGTTTAATGTTTGTAGTAATTATGTCTCTATATTTGGAAACCGTATATACACACCTTGAACTGTTTTAATTTCGTAAATGCATTAGTCTTCTCGTTAATTTTTTGTCCATAAAAATTTGCGTTTCTTAAATTAGAAGTTTGAGGAAAGGTAGACTCTGAATAATCTTTAAAGAGTGCCCCTGCATGATCCAATAATTACTTTGATGTTTTAAGAGGCGTTGTTGTCAGCCGTAAACGTCGAGGCAGAGGTAATATGAGGCTGCCTGCGACTTTGCCGGATGTTGCTTCTTGAATGGTGTCTTTGTGCATGTTTAGTCCCTCAGTCGCTGGAGGAAGTGACGCGCCCACGGAAATAGTTGCGGTGGGCAGGACTCGTGTTTGTCGGGAGTGCCGCGAGAAGGAAAGGGTGGAACAGATAGGGAGAGGGTGAAGAACGATGGAGTAGGGCGGGGGAGGTGAGGAACGATGGAGGGGGAAGGTGAGGAACGATGGAGGAGGGAGGGAGGAAAAAGGTAAGAACGAACGAGGGAGGGACGAAGGAAGGTAGGTTAAGAAAGAGGAAGGGATAACAAGTTACCTTATTCTCTTACGGGTGAAGGATTGCGAATAAAGATGCCAAATAAACATAAGAGAAAGGGGGGAGGGGGGGGGGGCAGGACGTAAGATGGAAAGTTAAGAATGCGAAAGTGAAATGGTTTGAGCTCAAGGACTGGGAACTTTATAGTGGGTGTTTAGCTAGCAAATACTCTGCTGTTTTTAATTCAGAACAGTGATGCAGACGATGTAAAGGGATAAAACATTAGCCAAAAATGGACCCAATGCTGCGGATTTTGAGGACGGTCTGTTTATTGATGAAATTTTACGGTTAAAACTTTCACATTGTCGAGTGAAACAATATAACCCTGATGAAGTAAATGTACTGTGGTTGATCAATAATTTGTTCCGTCATCATCATGGTGGTTCCTGCTATTATCTTCCTACTATAGGAGAATCGGTGGGAGGAGTGGTGGAGGCGGATGTTTGCCGGTGGGACTGGAGTGTGGGTGACGTCATTTACAGGGTGTTTACAGAACGAGTGCTGCCCTCCGGACCGGTCGGTCGCCCGGCCGGGTGGTCACCAAGCTGCGGGCCACCCCCCCTCTCCCAGCTAGGTAGACAACGGTCGTGTGCTGGACCCAAGTCATTCATCTTCACTGGTAGACTCGTGTATTAGCGTTCAGAGTTCCTTCACTCTTCCGCTCCATAACCACAATAGATATCTTTTATTTGTATCCACTCAATGTCATCCAGTCAGTGTTGGATTACATATTGCTGCACTATAAGGGGACTGGGGAGGGACATTTAAAGGACACGAAACTGTACACTAAACTAGTTTTGGCGGCGCAGTTACCGAGGGGAGGGTGATGGAGGCGCGGTGGCCAATCTGTGTTGGTCACTCGCAGGGTTGGTTCATTTAAATAGTATGAATTTTTTATATAACTGGTTTAAATTAGTAAGAAAAAAAATCACTGCAATATAGGTAAAATAAGTTCCATAACCAGTACCGTACCTTGCCAATAGTGGGTACCAGACGTGACCGACCACCCAAGTGGCTAACGAGCTGTATAATTAGTATAATGTACAGAGATTTTTTCATTTGCCCTCTTAAATCTACCATAAAGGGGGGTGGGGGTGGTCAAGTTAATATCTGTAAATAATTTAATGTTTTATTACTACTTTCAGGGGTTCGGACATAGTAGGTACAGTTCACTGAACTTCTTTCTTGTAAACAAACTCACGGGTAGATGACGTGATGATGGTACTGATGGTAATTTTGACGGTGCTTATTAATAATAATTATATGTCTTACATTAGGTACATTAGTTTACTTGTGTTCATGGTCTTGTTGTAGTTTTTTATTAATGTTAATTTGTCGTTTTTTTTTCTTTACAGACGTACTCCGGCCTGTTCTGTGTGGTGGTGAACCCGTACCGACGGCTGCCCATCTACACGGAGAAGGTCATTGAAATGTACAAAGGCAAGAAGCGACACGAGATGCCACCGCACGTGTTTGCTATCACAGACTGCGCTTACAGGTCCATGTTGCAAGGTAAGAGAAATGCCCTGATATCCGAGCCTCGTGTTCACAGGAATTAGTCGGTATGACGAAGTTCTTAGTTACATGATTGAATGAATATTATCTTTTTATCGATTTTTATGTATTTGTTTGTTTAACCCATATTGGTGCATAGACCAGGTTGTTTGGTTTACATGTTGGCTCGTGCATTAGGTATTTTGAAGTAGACTGTCTTAATCAGTGCCTAGTTTGTGAATGGTGGGCATTGGCGGGGCTCATACCACTCGGGATCGTTGCCCTAATATGTAGGTGTGTGACATTTCCTATTGTGGCAACAGGAACAGCAGCATCCCAGGTTAGGTCTGTAGCCATAATGAGCTGTCTCTATTGGTGGTGATAGGTGGCGGGTGTAGAGGAGTTGACACACAAATACATGGTCGGGCGGGCCACTGTACTCCAACCCGTCTCTTGTACCTGCTTTTGCAATTGAAATGAGGCGAGAGATGGCAGAGGAGCGAGATGGAGCATCACATTTTGACCAGCAGGACGAGTCTGTCTGCAAAAACGTGTTTAGAGTTGTTACCTGCTGGTTTAGTTATCTGGGTTTAGAGGATGGACTTAAAATTTCAAATAAAGAGATTTCTGAGGCACTTGTCTATCATGGTGCACGTAGAGGTGTCGCCGGCTAATATGTTTTAATGGTCATCTGAGCTATACTTGTGTATCTGGGTGTCGTGATGCTACAAGAATAAAACGTATAGAAAAATTTTCTGCTGTGCCCATAGTTTATCGGGTTTTACTTTTTTAACTTGTCATTTATTGGGATCAAACTCGTAATTGTTCTCCAGGAACTGACGGGCGGTGCTTGCTAACACTAATATTTACAAAGGTTTTTTTCCTGGTACACATTGTTTATAGACTAATTATAGTTCCTGTTGTGGTATAAAGGTCCGTTAAGGTTAAAGAAGAGGGAGGAGGAGCGAGAAAGGTGAAGGGAAGGAGAGAAAGGAGATCATCTGATTGGTAAAGGAGAAAAGGGGTAAGTAGAGGGAAAATATAATAAGGGAGAGATGAAGAAAATTGAGTGATGTTAGGTTAATGGCTTGTGGCAGGAGGAGGAGGGGGAGGTAAGATGCTGCTGCCTGGCCTGATTAATGAGGGTGCATTGTCTCTGGCACCGACGACAACCTGACCCAGACACTTATGGTGCTGCCCAGGACCACCAGCCCCAAACCCTCCTGCTCTCTCCTGCCGGATCCTTCAGATGGCTACTTAGGTTCTCGAATTGTGTTTTAGCAGTTTTAATTCATTATAACTAGACATCTTAAAATGTTGTGGGCGTTTTCAAGCTCCTCGGTGTTTATTTTCACACATCTAAGACCAGTTACTTTCTCTCCTTCATCTTCCTGTTCTCTCTCCTCTTCCCCCTCCTCTTCTCATCACCATTTTGGGATTTAAGACGGGCAAAGTTTGGGCTTATATAATGCAGGAGAGGGACTGCGAAGTTTTTCAAACCAAGACTCGGTATTTTTTTCTGTGCAGACTAAATCATTTTCTTAACAGGATAAACTTTTAAGGCAAAGTGTGATGCAGGTTAAGGGAGCTGTCGTACCTGAATTCGTTATACGGGAAAGAAATTAGTGTGTTCTTGTTTATCTAATGCAGAATAATGTGTATCGTACAAAAACATCCCAAGGTGTGAAGGGACTCGAGAGAGACAGTAAAGAAGTACCTTAAGCCAGCGGACGAGCACCTGTAAGGACCAGTGTCACCTTGTGGGGTCACAGTACGTCAGGGCAAGAGCCATTTATCTAATGCAGGTCATTCCCTGGTGAGCCTCCACGCTGGGTCAGGGGAGATGTAGCTACAGTACCTCTGGCCTGTGACCCTACTGGAGACTAGTGAGGGATATACACCTCTGAATTCAGCTGTCCTCTTGTCGTGTCTTATTTCCCGTTGGATATGTTCTGAGGTGTTGGGGCGCCGAGTGTATGTTGGACCGTCTTGAACTACGTTAAAGGCATGGGTAAGGAGGCAGTTGTGGGGTGATGTGTGCTCATGTGCTGTGGCCACAACTAGCCGCTAACAATACACGATACAGTTGACATAAGAATAAGTTATTCTTTATACCGATAGTCTTAGTTCATTCACTTGGTCGCCCTGTATAAATTACCAAACAATGAACCAAACCGGGATTTAAGCAAAGAATATTGATTGTATGCTTGGAGTAAACTGCTTGACAATGATTTCATGATTCCAGATGTAAGAACCAGATTAGAAAAAAAAATGTAAATAAAGCCTTTTGCTTCTCGGTATTATGTGATAACTGGTTCTGATAAACATCTTTATCTTTGGAACTGGTTAACGTATTGTGATATAGAGAATGATTGTGTAGTGATGCGGTGTTGTGGTTTTGTCTGTGTAACGTGATAGAAAGACGAACTGAAGTTGTACTGGTGGGATGTGGTAATGCAGTAGCTAGTTGGGCCTCTGGTTTTGTGTAACCAAGCAATTTTTTTTGAAGGGGAGGGGTATACATCCTCTGCGGCAACGATAAGGCGGAAGTGTCATCCGAGCTCTAAATTCAGCCGCACGGGTCACCATCGCCACTAATGAAGAGAGACGCCCCTTGAATCTTGTCTGCTCCTGATCTTGCTTCCACACCCACCCTCATGGACGTGTGTGTGTGTGTTTTGAGTCGGTGTTTGGAGAAACTTAACCAAAACATTTCGAATTTACATTAAGCTCTCACAACCAAGAGAAACTGGTGTACTTAGAACACTGACCCGTGTCTCGGCTCACCTGTCTTGGCACTCCTGAGAAGCCGTACAAGGTCACTTGCCATCGAATTCATTTCCACGGGCGATCCCCCCCTCCCCTACCCCCCTCCCCCTCCTAAAAAAAATCTTCAGTTTTATAGAGCTTTTAAGGTAAGACACAAACACAGCCAGACTACATTGAAAACAGCCATATCACACGTAGTTTCATTCTGGGGTGAACCTGTGCGCGCTCTTTTAATTTAATGTGGAAAATGTTAGACTAGGGGATGGAAGCGGGAAGCAACTATCAGCTGAACAAATCCGATTATGAGAGCGATTTAAGAGTAATAATTATTAAGAGACCTAAAACCTAGACAGAAATACGTTTATGTATGAAATGAGGCTAACGAAATACTTTACTAAGGTTCATATCTAGGAACGTAGTAACAAGAGAAGCGATGGCATCTTAAACTATATATCGTGTATGCGAGAAATCACTTGGATTATGCTTTTCAGTTTTGGTCACCGTACTATAGAATGGATATTGATTCTCTATTAAGCATACGGGTTAGGTTAGGTTGAAGGAATTGTAGATGAATAGGACAAGTCACCTAACACCATCATTAACTCGAACTCGCTGGGAAGCTTGGAATATAGGTTGGACCGATAGGAGTGATAAGGATTAGGTGTTTCTCAATTACATAAGGTATTGTGAAGGTTGCAGCACGAGTCTTCAGTACCCTTCCTTAGTGCTAAATAAGTAACTATTTCTGCCCAGTATTTTATGAAAAGCATTATATAATCCAACCCAACCTGGATATTTGGCCACCATGAACACTTGGAAGTCAAAAACTTGTTCATCGATAATGTTTAAAGAAAGTTTATGCGAAAGGGAGACGTTTTAGAGAACATCATACCGATCATGTCTTCCCGCGAGTTACTTGGTCACTTGGAGTTGTATTGGAAGAATTTGGTTATCCTACAATGATTCCTGCTTGAACTGAAGAAGCCAGATGAAGCCTCCCTCTCATTTTGTTGTTGGAGACCACTATTTTTGTCAGACTATCTCCCACCTGTTTTAAAAGACCGATTCTCCCACTGTAGGGCATCTCATTTGTAAGATGTAATCGAAATATTTGGTGGAAAGGTGTGGGGCATCTTACTTGGCCAGGGTTTCAAGGGTATGATGGTTGAAGGCGACTCGGGGCATGTGAAGTTTCGTACGGCGTGATGGAAGACTCCCAGTGTGTTTATCGTTGGGTGATTTAAGACTTTCTCGAGTGTGTTTTATGATGGGAGGCTTAGAGGCACTCGAGTAGGGTTTCTCTGGCTTGTTGGGTGGATGACGTAGGCGTACTTTACTACTTTGTGTTCACTTCCTTCTTGGAAATAGATCGACCAGTGTGCATTGACTTACTCGTGATGTGTTTAAGAGCCACAGGGAGGATAAACAAGTGTCAGGTTTCAATACTGGGAAAAAAAAGATTGACTAAGAAATTACTGTCTTCTTCCTGGGATTGAAATATTCTTCTCTCGTCGTTGAACGTATCAATTTCACACGGAATGAAAACCCGTGAAATGTTTTTAGTGGAGGAGGAAAAATGTATCCCCGGAGATTATTGTACTGGGGCGACACCCTAACTCATCACTGAATTGAGGAGGGTGGAGCCTAATGACCAATCATGCGGTAAAGGGTTATGGTTACAGATTGGCATCAGGCAATTAGGTGTGAATTATATAGTCATCCACGGTCTTAAATTGGCGTGTGGTCAGGTGTTGTTGCTTCTTAGTAGCCTATTGGTGGACTTTGTTAATTTGCAGGTTTTTTAGGTGCTGGGGGGAGTCATTTGCATGCGTCTTTGGCGGTGGTGTGCCTGGTGCTTGTGACAGTTTACTCCTGGGAGCCGAAAGGCGCGTTGGTGTGGGGTGGGGTATGCACTGTGCATGTCGAGGGTATGTTAAAGTGTGTTGGGAAGGGTAACTACTGTGCATGCTTGAGGGTATGTGGTGTGTATGAGGGATATAGGATACTTGTTTGTGTGTGCAAGTGTTCTGCCTTAATTTTAAGGCCGTGGGTGTGACGAATTGTATATACAGTATTTAGAATTATAGAAGATACACTGGTAGTAAGAGTTGTGTGTAATGTGATGGATGATTCGTACACACTCGCCCATCTTGTGATGATGTCAGTATGTGTACCAGCTGGTGTATAGTGGAGTATGTCCGGAGGGTCTCGGGTTCATGGTGGTGTGACACATGACTCACTAGATTGTT